AAGACAAAAGCAAAGAAGCAGCACACCCAGAAATGACAGCAAGAAAGTCACATTTTTTTTAAACCAAAAACCTTCCAAACTCCAGATAAAGTTCTTCTTTTGGTCGGTCACTATAAGTCATTATAATGCAAGCCTCTTTTCAACATTTGTCTAGTCTGTTCTTGCTATTGAAGATGCTTGTGCTATAAGACAAGCTAACACTCTGCAGCATGCTGTTTGAGAGCGATTTTTTTATACATCTTATAAGAAAACTTCGTTGTGAACTATTAACTGTTCTATTAATGTTGATTAGAACCATATGTAAAAGAAGTACACAGTTCAGAACAACAACATTATGACCGCCTAGCAGCAAGTAGCAACTAACTAATCTGGATGAGCAGTTTGCAGCTAGTGGTTAGAAGAAACCACTGCAGATGCTTCTTTCAGTATGACTGCAGGATTGCATTTTCAAGCAACACCAAACTGTAATTTCTACCATATATAGGAGTCCCCATCAAGTCATTTAAACACATACCTTGGCACAGTACCGGTGGACCATAAAAGCTTATATCCTTCCACATGCAAGCCAAATGTAGACATCATGCATCATCATGCTGTTTATTCAACAAAGACTACTATTATAGAATGGATGAAAGGTGAAATGAAGGAAAATTAACCAGGGTTTTTCACGATGATCATGATTTGCTAATCAACTTTTTCATTTGTAATAAACAGAAACTCGTTAAGCCATTCTTAGAATTTCTGCACTTGTAAGCATTCATGCACAATCTGTAAAATCTAACATTCTACCACATACACATTACTGTGGTCATAATCTTTATCAATAACAATAAGAAAGTAGTAAATACGCTCAAAAATTATTTGTTAAATTGACTAAAGTGAAATCATATTTAAACTAAATCACTAACACAACAGCAATATTTTTAATTTGTGTGTTATCTTAGGTTAACTTTAGTACACATAATGACATAAATCCTTGGAACAGTTCTGTGTGGGCTGATTTAATAAAAAAAAATGATGATCTGTAACATCTCCAAACAAATATATGAGCAAAGATCAAATAGGCAAAACAGTGTAAAGACATGTAGAAGAAAAGCTCAGCAGCAGTCTAATCAGACCCCTCCAACACTCACGCAGTTGATCAATGAAAGACCTGGGGCCGCCAGCCTGCGCTATATTACACACCAAACTTCATATTCATTCATTGATTTTACTTTTCATAATAGTATATCACTGAACTCCAATGGGAGCAAAATATGGAGGCCAGGGCTTAGGTCAACTCTCAAATGGACGCCTGGACGAATGTTTGCACAATATTGATGGGGCACGCAGAAAGAAATGACTAAATACCTGGATCAATAGCTAGTTTCCCTAGCTACGACAGGTTATTCTAGATGGAAATATATAAATACCTCTTTATGGCTACTGGAGAAGTCCTAACGAGCAATGCTAAATGCGCACCCTTAAGGTAAACACTTTGATTAGCCAAGGCCAGAGGTGACAAGAGGGGTCTGCTAATGCTAGGATGCCACACTTACAATGGCCTGAGGATGTTAACACACACAGGGCCCTGATAAAGAGACCGTGTATATGACAGGTCAAGCTCTGGGCAAAGAGCCCTGACCATCCTATTTATTTCTGATGTTTATGGACCCTGGCTTCACCATTCGCAGTCATATTCGACCAATGAATGTCATTAATAATTGAAATTTCTTTTTTCACACTAATCAGAACCAGAAGTGGGAAAGTCTTTGGCCTAATGAAACACATTTGCACACAGACTTCTTAAAACAAAGTTAAGTACACAGACATCTTTATAATCAAACCAGGCGGACATATCCTGCTGCTGCTGCTGCAGCCCTGTTTTTATTTACTGCACAACCAAATTACTGAGAACAACACCCAACCTTACAGCTTTACCAGCTCCACAGTGTCCAGTGGGGCCATAAAGAGGGTGGAGCCACATCACTGCCTGCTCCTTAATTAAACCAAAGCTGTTAGGTTCATTTGCCTCTTTTTTTACACACATTGAATTAACCAGTCCATCGTTGAAGACCTCCCAGACGCCATCCCTACTTGCCCCTAAATCATGATTGGGTGAACGGTCCAGTGGGTCCCTGCTGGACATGCAGCAGCCGCCCAACGGCAAGGCCAGCACAGGGCATGTGGCAGATCGACACCTAGCCAGCGATAAGTAATTCTGTAGGGGATTAGCAGCATGATAGCCTGATCAATACTGTGTGCTCAGGCCATTAGGAATGCAGCGAGGAAATGACCCCCTCTGGTAATAAAGCAGGCATCTGGGTTCTCCTTCATTTGCCAGCTCCATTAGTGTAATGGTATCATTATCTGCCACAGCCGTATTTTTCTGCGCCTTGGCTTTTCCACAGCTCGACCAGCGGGGGTCTGATGAAGCAGTGAGAGCCCCCATACTGACTGTTCCCCTTTCTACCATTCTACACAGGACCTAGGTGTAAATCTAGCTCTGCTGGAGCTTATGTGCTACCCTGCCTTAGGTATCCATACCCATGTTTTATGTCAGTACCTAACACTATTTCTCCATTATTGGCTCATTAATAGAGCAAGCAGCATGTAGCTTGGGTTTAGAGGGAGAAAAAGATGGCCGGCAGAGCGCAAAGCTGCTGAATGCGCTGAATCTGACACCCCCCTCTTGCTAAAACACCAGGCTTGACATGACAGGACGTCGGCATTAGTTGCCATAAATCGTTTCCTTTACACTAATTCACCAGCTAACATTTTGTGGGGGAAAATTGATTAACCATGTCTGGATGTGTGGCCACATAATCAGCTTTTACTTCAGTAGATGTTAATTTAACAGAATCGCCAAGGGAAACACAAACCATTTTAATGGGTGTTTAGAAATTAAATACCCTAAACAGCTTGCACTAGGTGCCACAACCAGAACAAACCAATGAGGCTGATCTAAGCAATGGGCTGGTTTGAGCCCAGGACCTCACAACATCTGGTGACCCTGTGTGAACATTACTTAGCCTGCTGCTCACGCACACAGACACACTTCCTGTTTCACCACAGCACTTAATACTTGTCATCGCTGTCCAAATGGCAAGCTTGCATCAAAGACAACATTAGAACATCGGGTTAAGGGACAGGGTCGGTGCTGTTTTCACACTTGCCAGGGCATGAGTGGAAATTTATCCTGTGATGACAACACTGATAAAACATACTTAAAAGTTTTAAATTCATTAGCGTACTAGAGGTTAAACATTAGTATGATGAGAAAATTCAAGAAATTGTAGCTACTTGACAACCTAAGACAAAGTACAAATCTATAAAAACTTCTTTTTTTTTTGATACAAACAAAATGAAATCTGATGAGTGAGTGTGTTCACTAGCCTGAATGATGAAAAACCTAAATAAATGACATAAATGTGAATTGGTGTGACTAGGTGGGGTTAATTCCCCTCGGGGACTCAGACAAATGTTCTCTTTCATTTAAAAAAAGATATATAGAAAGAAGCCATGGCACCCCACCTGTCTATGCTATACTGACTTGTTGTGATGGGATTTTCTGAGGAGACTGTGTATTCATTTGGCACTAATCTGTTGGGGCTTGCATTCCACAACTCGGAATAACAGTGCACCCATCACAGTGCATCTCTCACTTTGGGAGCCATTGCAGACACACTCATTTACTAGATAAGACAACCATCATATCCAAGGTATTAGTTAACATAATAACTGTGTCTTTATACAACCAGTGATATTGTGAAAACCGTTCAAAACGCACGCAGCTTTCGCTTTGGCCGCTGTACAGTTTTAAAGAAATTTTGCAGTTACTAATTCTCTCGCTCATCCTTTTATTTATCTAAGGAGAAAGACAGCTAAGCCATTAGGTCTGTGCAGTACTGCCTGACTGCCTGAGGGCCAACTAGAATGAGTTCTCTCTCTGAGCCGCTCATCTGGCTGCCATGGCTGCTTTCATAAACAGGAGGAACCACGTCCTACATAGTTTCACTGCTGTCTAACATGATCCAAACACATGCGCCACAGCAGACGGCGTCCAAGTCTGGAGATATGAGAAGAAACAGACAGGCAGATAGGCAGATGCTAAGAGAAATGACTGTGATGAAGCAGCCCTGGATGCCTAGTGCACAGCAGTTTCCTCTCTTCCATTAGAATGTCCACAAACTGCAAAGTTCCAGCTTTTACAAAGCTCGACACATCAGCACACACACAACACATAGGTACCCATCTCTGCTCACATCATGTGACCCTTATTTAAATCCTATTTTTTTCAGTATCAGGTTCTACAGCTGGCACATTAGCACAGGTTGTTCTTTAACAACAGCAGTGGCAACATTAGCCAATAGGTTATCATTTCTACTGTATGTCAGAGAACAAACCATTATCCACTGCATCTGTAGTAAAGCCTGAAGCAGCTGGAGACTGCTGGCCTGGCAGCATGCCAAATCCCGGCTACACTTCACACTAACTTTACCTTTTGTTTTTACTGTTAGACTGAGCTGCACAGCTGCTGATGCCATACAAGTGATTCATTGTTTATTCTTCACACCAGAATAACATCCCAACTTGAGCCTCGACTCTGTCTTTTGTTTGTTTTAATTAAAAAAAGAAAAAAGATATCTATGCATTGAACTAGTTGCAATGTCCACTATTTTTTCATAATTGTGTAGCCTGCTGTAATTCATATCGTATTTCAACTTGATGTAGGATGCTGTCGAGGCGTTACTCTGCAACCTCTATTTTCTCATCGGCAGTGTCTCTACGTGGCAAAACACCATTTTAACGTAACTGTAATTCTTCATTGTGGCAGACTGGTGGGGGAAAAAATGGAAAACACAATAAAGGAAACAGGCAAGGTGAAGTATGCGCTGACATTCCCGGCTTTCTAGCCTTCAAAATGCAGCCAGCAGCATCACATACGGAGCATTAGATATTCAAAGAGCGACAGGGCTTAGAAATATGCCAGACCTAACGGAGAAAAACGCTATCAATACCTTTCTTCTCTTCTCCCCCTCACTGTCACCCGATCTTTTCATGTTCCTGGAGTTGTGTTTACACTGCCTCGCTTTCATTAGGGGCGACGTCGGTCGTTGTAGTGCACGAATAAACTGCATATCCCGCTATTTTCGTGCCAGGAAGAGCGTCTCCAAGTGAAGCCGTGTATTTCATTTCTACGAGACGCCAGTCTTCAATTTCTCCAGTTTAAAATGAGTTTCCGTGGAGAAATTGTTGGGGGAGATTTTAAAAGCGTAACACTTAGAACTACAATTCCCAGCTCGAGCGTGAGCTCGCGGCGGAAGCAGATTCGGCACGCTCAAGACTTTGCACTACGCAGGTGTGGCGCAGGTACAGATCTATATATTGCACATAAGCCGGTCAGCATGGCTTTTAAATCGGTGTTTTAAGCCCCTAAAATGGCTGTGGCATTTAGAGGAAAAATGTGAGAGACATAATTTAAAGCGAAAGCAAAAGTCACAGACCTATTCGGCAATTTTGAGTAGTAGTATTGCTTGTACTACAGTCGAAATGTCGTTTTTAATGAATTTATTGCTTACCGAGTTTTTTCTATCATTGATATCATTATTTAAAAGTCTCAACAGAATCTTAAGGTCTTTATTAAGGCTATTGCATGTACTTTCCTCATTTTTTTTAAATCAAGCACAGTGCCACTTTCATCTTCGATACGTGTAAAAATAGCAATCATGCTTTGAACGGGCTCCACTTCAAGTCTAGCCAACTTTCTTTCAACTCTTGCATGCGTCTCAAATCCAGGTGCATTTTTTCCTGCCGGTGTGGGCCTTTACCACGTCAGCCCTTTTCAACTCGCCAGCAATCATGAAAGTGCACCGTAAACGCACAGCGTCTGTGTGGCTGCCTTTGTATATCACCCACAGTTGCCTTTCAAGAGTTGAACCAGATTGCTCGTAACATAGTTTGAATAGTGCTGAAATATGTTCTGTCCATTGTTCCTATCAAAGCACACGTGAAATACATGAGAAAGTTTCACGGATGAAGTGGCTTTGGCGGCGGGAGGGCAGTGCAGGGGCGGATTGCAAAGGTCTGAAACACCTGCTACACATTACCATTACAGACTTTGATCAGTGTCTTCATTAGTTTCCTTTGTAATCTCTTTTCTTTTATGGTAGAGCTGACCCAAGTGAACCGGTACGATGATTTAACACACATGTTTCTTTCACCTGTCTTGTAAAATACTCAAAAGCTGTCCCACTTTCAAAGATGCCACACTCTCTTACTAATAATCGGTGGGGGAGTTCTTTTGATTCCTATTTATAACCTACATTTCCTCTTCCATGGCCTGGTCCTGTAATGGGGAAAATGTCTGAAAAATATCCTTGGAACCATTTTGCGAAAACTAGATCCATGTGCATGCATGTATATGATTTTTTTTAAACATATGTCAGACTAGAGTCTTTTTTTTTTTTATATAGCTACTTGCATGGAAAAAAAAATCTTACGGCACTGTAAATAATTTCTTTTAGATCTTACAATGTCAAAACCTGCCTACATCCAACCTCCATCACCCCATTCCATCATTAAACTATGTCCCTTTTATGTGTCAAACTATCATTCACTAATTCCCACTGTCAGTCATCTTTATGGTTTACATTTTAAAAAAGTAAAGTTTTTCTGCTTGACATTTTTGGCTTACTTTGTCAGCTCTTTTGGCTCTTTGAATGAACATAATGTATAGGGCCATTAATGGCAGACAGACCCCCATGCCTTGCCCAATAATTCCCAGAGAAGCTTTTTTTTATTACTGTTGGCTTATTGGTGGATTGGTGTCAGATTCATTGTGACTTAAGAATTATACTCCATGCGTATGGTGCATCCTATCAAGTTGTTTATTAAAGGTATATCATATGGTGAGATCCACTGTGTTGACACCTAGGGTCAGGAGTAGCTTGCTCTTAAAGTTCTGCCTGTCAGTGAGTGCGAAAATCACAAATAAACACCTTCTGTCTTGTTTCTACCAATTTCTGAACACAATAGGCTGCAGTTTTGTAGTTGAGGGGGGGCAAAGACTGTATATAAAAGACAGATATGACTTTTAGTCTCAAAACTGTGGAATTGTTCAAATTGACATCAAAAATCAGAATTTCCTACTTCCTGGAATGGCTCATCATGTCTTGGAAAGGTAGACTCTCCCCACCAACCCTGACTTAACAATCCAAGATGGCATCAGTGCATGTAAACATTAGTAACACTCTGAAAGTTGCAATCTGTACTACTGTTGTTATGCATTTGTGACTTGCAATTTAAGTCCTTACCACACTTCTCAGTTCTTAATGAGGATATACAGAAGATCTTTGTTTTGCTACTTAAGTAATATCACAAAGATAGCACCAAAGTTAACAAAAACCAGCCCAAAGAAAAAAGTAATCTAAACTTTGCTATGTAAAATACAAGGAACCGATTCATCTCTGGGTTTCTGTAACATTAAATATCCAACTTTGTTCATTTAAGTGGGGGCAACATGTCGTCCCATTAAGCATTTTGGGGCTTTTACTACTAGCTTTATAGTAACATGCCTTTGCAAATGCTTAGCAATACTTGATACCATACTTACTCAACTTGCAACACATTCAAAGTAGTATGCATTTTTCCACTACTCAAAACGTACTCTGCTCTGCCATTTTTGTCTTTCCTTCTGGACACACTGATTTCAGGTGACTCCTGCACAAGTGAACCTAAAATGCATTTGTGTGTTTGTTTTTTTCCATCCATCTGGGTCTGAATATTGAAGGCAGCAATCCAAGGAAAGATGCCCAGACCTCCCTCTTCCTAGCCACTGCATCCAGCTTTTACAGGGGGCTACTGAGGCATTTCCAAGCCAGCCAAATTACATAATCTCTCCAGCGTGTTCTACGTTTGCCCTACATTGAACATGCACAAAACAACTCGCCTAGGAGACGTCCAAAAGGCTTTCTTGTCAGATGCCAAAACAACCTCAACTGGTTCCTTTCCATGTAGAAGAGTGACTAAACTTATCACCCAGACATTATTCACAGGAAGCCACTTGACTATGTGATCTTATTTTTTTGTGATTACCCATAGTTTATGGCGAGGGTAAAAATGTAGATTGATCATCTCTCCTCACGATGATAGAGTGGAATAGCATCTGCAAATTCAGCGTCAATCCAGCTGCCAATCTCTCACTTAACTCTCCCATAACTCAAACACAGTTTTCTGACATATCTGAAAGCCTCCACTTGGGGCAGTGACCTCTCCCCAGCATGGAGTTGGCAATCCAAACCTTTCCAGCCAAGAACCAGGCCTCAGACTCATAGGTGCTTATTGTCACCCCAACACAGATACTAATATAATTCTTTTATTACTGACTGTTAGATGGCTCAAACAGCGACTGTACTCTACCGATGACCAATTATCACTGCAAGAATATTTGAAAATGGCTGAAGAGGTCAAATACTGGCTGCACAATAACCTGTATAGCTACAGAGGCCAAGGCAGAACATGGAAACAACAGTAACCTTATCAGCAGCAAATCTGTTTATAAGGATTCTGCCCAAAGTTAGCCTTACAGTTTCTGATATCCTGACTAACCGCTGTCTCATGGTCAGCAAGTTTAACTAGTGCCATATGACCTTTGTAAATAAGAGCATGTGCAGGTGTAACTCAATAAATACTCAACTCATCTAAATAGTTGAGGTTTTCATTTCTCAGCATGTAGTTTAATAGCAGATCACGGCTAGAAAGGACATGCAAACATTACATAATGTCATATTTTTGTACACTTAAAAATGTCTCTTACTGGCACTGTTCACTTTCAAAACATAAGTGATGAATATTTTTTTATTGAATGAAGATCATTTTTTGGTGTCCACCTCAGGGCATTCACACTAATTTGGACATACCTTCAGTTGTACTATCATTCAGATGTTCTCAATATCAGTCGTTGTGATTTAGACAGAGTGGAAATTTCTCTGGCTTTTTTAGTTTGGTGGTCAGGTTTTAGGATCTGTGAGCAATCATAATGTACAGACTCTTAACAAAAAGACAAGCCAATTACCTTCCTCAACAACGCCTGTCATTTGTTCTACAAAGACTCAGGCTCTAAAGCAGACACCCCTCCACTTATGTCTGACCTGTGGGGTTCAACATAAGGCAAGATCACCACTGTACACTCTTTGATGTGGTATCATGTGGAATGAAGGGGGGGAAACGCTTTGAACTTCTTCTATCATCATATACCCCTCTTTACTGATCTGGCCAATGTGTTTGCACTCACAATGGGGGTATGTTTTCTGTTATTATGCATTGCATCAGCTCCGGATGACCCTTCAACAAGCTTTTCTTTTTGTGATAAAACTAACATCTAAAAAAGCTGAGGATGAATAAACGATGAGGACAATGCAATGCCAGACTGTACTAAAGACAGAGACTATTGTGGTGGGCCTGTATTAAAACCAGAGCCCACAGCCCTGCAATCATCTCTTCCCCTGACTTCAAACTATTGTATGCCCTAAAAAAATCAGAAATACAATGGACATGCCTCTTTCTGAGTAATAATATTTTTCCGTTGCAGGAGATTCGATGGTCCACCTAGATTTTATTATTGCGTTATCAAGTTGTGGTTTCTGTGTGAAAGAGAGGAAGCAAACTACTTGAAAAAATGAAAACAACACAGTCAAGCATTGTCCTGCACCACACAGGACCTCTGCTGAAGGTACTTTTAAAAATTGTAAACAACATTTTTCACTCACCACAACTTCAACTAGGGACTGTCCTCAGCATTGTTCTGCCTCCACCAAGACAAGCTCATTTTTGATTTTTATTTATATCGAATGAACATATGGAGCAAGTATGTGCCTTCTCCGCTTGCTAACCTTAGCCTTAGGAAACTGTTATTTGTCAGTGCTGTAAAGCAGATTGCTGCCCAGTGGTTTCAATTTACATCAAAGGGCTTTTCACAGGCAGTAATAGTTATATCAAAACCTGAAATGTATTATTTAGGTTATGTGCTGGATTCCTACAAATGATTATATCCTTGTTCTGAGTAGGGCTTTTTTTTTTCTTCTTTTTTTTTGCTGACTTTTTCCATTCCAGATACTCCACCGCTTTTGACTGGTTTCTTTGAACCACCCCCACATCACTCCTGTACAGTCTCTTTGTAGCACCAGGGTACCTGTGTGGCTAACACCCGGTGGCCTATTAGTTACAGGACATAAAAAGTGTCTCTAAATAGCAAGGGAAAAATTCTGTGTAGATTTTCCAAAGTCTGTAATGTGTAGTGGTTACATTTCCACCAGAGCC